CCTGTTTGATATGGTGGTTCCGATGAAGTTCACTCATTATTACAGGTTAGAGCTGAGCAATTATTAAAGCTTTGTGTTCTTATCAGTATTTATAGAACTTGTTGATGAACTCGTTCTATTCTTCTCAATGTTACGAAACATCGTCCTAGCTAGTGACTCATGGCCTGCTGACGCTGTTGCGTAATCTGCAACTGCTGATTCTTGAGTTGTTTCGCAATTGAAAACTGAAAGGTGTGGATGTCGGAAAAAAGGAAAACAGATCTGCAATACAATTTTATTGAAGTGAATAGAAGTAGTTTTTCATAAAAGTAACAGTAAATAATACAATAAAGATGAGTGGGATCTTAAGTTAGATATATTGCTCTGCCCATTCGTTCAGACAATTGAAGCTACTGGTGGCATGCTGCTTGCTGACTCCAGCGTTCTCCTAAAACACATCTTTCAGATGATATTTTCGAAAAGCACAAACCTTGAGCCATGAAGTAAATAGATCATCATCTTTTCTCAAAAGAAGAAACTGGCCGAAGAGTACATAAGCCTGTAGATAGCATAGTAAAACTCGGGGAAAGAAATGAAATAGATACCTTGTCGAAGCCTTTTTCAGAGAGCTTCTCTCCATAGGTTGGTCCGATACCAGCAATGGCAGTAACTTCTTTGTCGCCCATGGGCTCACTGACGAATTCACGATGCTTCACGGAAGTAGACATTCTATAAATAGCATATACTTAATAATAATAAAAAAGCAAAAGCTAACAAACAAGAAGAGCACAAAATAATAACATTAAAGACTAAAGCCTGGCATGTTTTAAGATGATTTTTTTTGGCGCCCTTGTGGGCGGAGAAACGCTAGTGGGAAGATTGGCGTATTCTGGGTATTATTGGCGCCTTTCGAATAAAATTTTGAATAGTCGGTTAAGAAGGAACTTGAAACAGCTTTTTCCTCGGCTTGCAACAGCTTAATATCATTTGCTAATTTGTATTTATGGATCGTAGTCCTAGCGCAGAAAACAGGGTAAGAATCGGTATGAGAAAAGTGTTTGCAAATGAATTCAGGCACCTTATAGTAATGATTTGGGGAGAACGAATAGAAAATCACCGATGAAATCTCAGAACTTGAACTCTGGTATGTTTATAAATGAATAAATGATGTTTAATATAAGTTTATAAGATGTTGAGCGGAGGTTCAGTGCAGGAGGAAACACTAAGAGCGTCCTATATTCACCTGAGGTTGCATACATGAGAGATAAAGAGGGTCGTCGTCAATCGTTAGTTTCTCCAGAGTTTCTATCTTCTATGTTCGTTTACAGAAGTGTTTCTCCTAAAAAACATATTCCTCGACAGTCCCCAGCAAAAAAGTATGACAGTTTTACTAGTTAAATTGCAGAACCATCGTTTCAGGGAGAAGAGCCAAGTGGAGGAAGTAATTTTCCAGGAAAGAAAGAAGCGTACGTCCTCACTACCTCTTTTCTACTCAAAATGTCATTTCCAGTAGAGAGTATTCCTCGACAGCACCAGCAAGAATATTTGAATCTGCTTGCCAGTGAATCCAGCCGTAAAAAATCTCAGAAAATGAAAGATTCCAGGTAACATCCCCTTTTATCGCTTGTCTCGGAGAGAAAATTTAGTTCTAAGACGGATATTACATTCCTGGGGTCGAAATCAACTGCTATACCTATGTCTGAATCAGAGTTGTGTGACGAATACAAAGAAATCCTGAAAAAGCTGTAAGTTATACTATTCTTTTTTCTCATCATTCCCATGTTAGGGAGCACGTTGCGAGAGACAGAGAGCAGCATGAACCTGTGCATGCATCTCCTAATATCGGGATAGAAACAGATGTAGGTCGATCGAAGTTTGCCTTTTAGTAATTTTTTTTGTAGGTTATAAATTTGAACATCAGTTCGATCGAGAAGGAAACTGAACTTGCTGAACGAAGGCTGAAGGAGAAAAATACCGTAAGTCATACGGTTCTTTGCGTGTTTTTATAAACTGATTAGTTTCCCTTCACTCTTCTTGATGATGCTGGTTATGCTGTCCCTCAACGAGTAGAAGACAGGGAAAAGAGTATAGGACTTTCGGATGATTTCAGATCTCCATTTGATTCTCCTAGCAGTATGTTAATATAGCTTTGTATTCATTTTTATTTGAAACCTTGAAGAGCTTAACGATTCTTCAACAACTCCCATCAATCGTTCTTCGCCTGATGAACAGTTCTTCACTCCAATGGTAGATAGAAAGAAGCAAATTGACCAGTAAGAAATAGATTTTTGCGGTTTTTGAAGAAACATATTCAGCGTTAGACCAGGCGATAGGAACTTGATAAATCACCAGGTTGAAAAGGTTACTAACACATTGAAAAGAATGACGGATGATGACAAGAATGAACTGTAAGCCCAGCTATTTGATTGAGTTCAATATAAGCTTCAGCACAACTGCAACATGGCGCTCTCCTCAGAAAAAAATGCAGAACGAAGTTAAAATTCCTGACTTTGACAGTTATAGACAATCGATGCCTCATGGCCTGCAGAGTACGTTCATCTTTGATACAATTCTATATTATGCTTCTAGGGAACACATCGGAGCCTAGAATTTCCCTACAGCATGTTCCCAGAGATCAAGTAGGATCTTTCGACTCAATATCGGAAATTTCTGAAAAAGAGATGAACACATCTAATCCGATCCTTCCAACGGAGCAAGAGAAGTGAGATATTCCACTTTGCAATATTATTTGAAAAATTAAAGAGATGTGGATCTTATCAGACCTGAGTCTTATGGCGCTAGCCTTTCTGTTCATATGAACTATTCAGCTCAACTTGAACGTATGGAAAAGCAATTAGCAGAAGCGGAAGTTCTCAACGCAAGCTACCAAAACTTCAAAGAAGTACCGAAACCTTCATCTTCAAGATAATACGAAGAAATTTCAGAATCAGATGAAACAGAATGAAACCGTGAACAAGTCAGAATTGAAAAACGTAAGTGGTCATTGAATTACGTTATGAGAATTACAAAACCTTACGTGTGATATTCTCACGCAATCATAATTAGCATGAATTAGGCGTCAGTTGTGCTAGTGTCCGTTGTCCGTTATTGCTGTGCATTCATCTTGTTCCTATTTTTTTACTTTTATTATAGACAGAGAAAAATGAAAATCAAGACATCGATGACCTTCTGGATGGTATTGAGCTCTTTGAAAGCACTCTGATAGAACCCGTTCTTGTTCCCAAACGCAGGGTTTTGAAGCCAGCTCCTCTTACCAGGTATTTTTTTCCCGTTTTCGATCTTACTTCTATTGACGATCAGCATAAATGAGGATACTGAAGCAAAAACTGTCGTTGGGGGAGGATCTCGTACTGCTGCAAGAGCGGAAGCTGGAACGTTCAGGAAAAATTCTGGTAAGGTATTGCTTTTTGTATGCTTAATCCAAGTATCTCAGCACCGATTCGAAATGCCGTCGAGAAATATTGCTCTGATGTGAAAACTTTAGAGAAACTAGAGCTGAAGAAGCTACTTGTATATAAAAAGGTTGACTGGATCAACCTAAGCTCCAATAATCGTTCTATGTTTCAGTTGGGAATGTGCGCGACTGAGTTGCGAACAATGGAAGCTGACATAAAAGTTTTCACAGAATGTATGATTACTGATGCGCAAATGTGGATGAAGAATGGTGTTGGAAAAGTATGTTACGAAAGTTCTTCCAGTACTAATATTAACCAAATTGAGGAGTTCATCGATCAACGTTGCAAGCAGTTAGCTAAGATGTACAGCAAAGTTTCCGTTGAAATCAAGTTGTTAGCCTCTTTACTCTCTAAGCAATATGAAAGCGGAAGAAGAATCAGCTCGTAAGTATTCCTCACTTTGCACTTCTCATTTTTTATTTTCTTGTAGACAAGAACTGGCAAAAACAGTTAAAGCTTTTTCTGAGCCTCACAAGAATGAAGTTAAGCATGTTGCTGTTGGGAACGATTCCGTTATGAATTCGCCAGTGGAGACTGAAGCACCCGAACACATAACGAAAGAAATTAAGAAAGAGTTAGTTAGTGTTTCATTATAGGTGGTCACATTTTTTTTGCAGAGTGGTTGAAGAGACTAGCGATTCTGAGTCGTCAAGCATTCCAATTGGAAATCATGAGGCTGTTTCTCCGACTGATGAGAATATTGAGATCGATTTTTCCTCAAAAGTTAAAACTAACCATTCATATGATTCTTCAAAAGAATTGATGGACGAGAATCTTGGGGATGTAGAAAAAGAATATACCGATTCATTACCAGTGGAAGAAGTAGTTGCGGAAGAACACTTGCCCACTTCTGATGATGTCGACTTGCAACCATCCATGAACGAGCCTTTCAATGAGTCAGAGGTTGCAGATGTTCCATCTTCACCTTTAGACGAAGTAAACAAAAATGATCATTCTGAACCCGACTTGAGGTATAAAAAACTGACAATTATCTTGAGCTGGACTTTTTTTAGCCAATTGAATGTCTCATCCAGTAGACCACCCTCTGTTGTACCACCATTGAACTTAAGTTCCCTTCTTAACGATTCTGCAGTGGAAGCTGTTCAAGCTGACAATGAGAAGTAATTTCTTGTTTTTTTTCCGTCTCATTTTCTGTTCAGAGTCAATAATTCTACCCGACGCGACTCTTTGATCTCATTGAATGAATCCGAGCGTAAGTATTACCCGTATCATCCGTATTCAACGTTATAACTTACAGTGAGTAGCCGTCTCAATGTGAGTGAAAGAAGTGAGAGCCAGAGGAAAAACAAATCAGAGTAAGCTGATTTTCAATCTGTGCGGTGCTCATAGTTTCATTCAGAAGGTTCATGACTGTTTCTCCCAAAAGTTCTCCCCAAGTGCCATCCAGACAATTCCCAGTTTTCAGCTTAGGCAAGCATTCATCTATATTTGTGTTTCGTTGAAAGTATCTCTTACAGATTTCACATTTAATGATTCACGACTCTTCAACGACGTGCTTTCGCCATCTAAATTCGATAATGCCGAGAAAGACAAATCGAAAGAGGAAGGTTGGAACCTAGTCTCATATCATATTCATTCACTCTCTTCTTCAGTGCACGAGGAGACTCCTAAAAAACTTGAGAGTGAATATGTAAATACTCCACAACCCAAGTTATCTTACCAAAAAGCCAGCTCACTTTTCCCAGGTTCACCATCTTTACAGTCAGTTTTTTTAATCTGTGTTGTTCAAGAATTCACTCTCAACGATTCATCTGAGGAGTTCGACGATTTCTTGGGAGTCTGCTCAAATCCTAAAACTACTTCTCATCCATTGACATCGCCTTCCGGCATTCCAACAACTTTTTCGGATAATATAACTGAAACCACTAATGGTACTACTGATTAGTTTCTCGTTTCATGTTCGTATTACAGAAAACACCGATAATGAAACAGCGATGAAACTCATTCGTTCTGAAGAATGGACAAAGAACACGGTTAACTACTTCTGAGATACTGTAGTATTATTCAGTTTCAGATGAATGAGCTTTGTAGCTTAGTTTTCGAACATAAGTCTTCTCCAAGTTTCGAAGGATTCGAAGAAGTCGATGTTATCGAGAGTCTTGACAGGTTCTTCGTAGTATCCTGTTGGGAATTATAACATGGTCTGTTTTCAGATTAAAAGCTGCTCTTCCCGTGAAAGTTTTCTCTACTGATAAGCGTCTCCAAGAAATGCACGATGAACTAAGGTAGATCAGAAGTTCACTTTTTCTTAGCGACGGTCATCTTCTGTTTAGAATTCTGTTTTATGCATCTGTACTTAACGTAGCAGCCGA